GGAGGGAGGGGCACAAAGACCAAAAAAAATTGTACTTCGATGTTTTAATGATTGACGAATGATGAAATATTTGTGTTTTAAAATAAATAAAACCTTTGAAAATAAAATAACCTCTGAAAAAAAAGAAAAAAGAAAAAGAGAAATAAAATTAAATGGAGTACAGGGGTAATCCTTTTCTAAAATGTGTTTTTCTGTTGTTGTTTTTAATAATAGCTACAGGAAGAAGATAATTGTTGGATAATTTTATTTCGTATGTTGTTTCTTTGTATCTATGAGCTGCCAAGGAAGGAAGGAGGGAGGGAGGGAGGGAGGGAGGGAAGGAAGGAAGGAAATCTCCCTGTTAATTTGTATTTTCTGAATTAATATATTCACAATCCATGACATTTATTTGGAGCCAAAGCGAGTAGTATAAAGCCATATCCATAACATCAGGGTGTAATTTACATATGCATAGTTAACATATGCATAAATTATATACATAATTTAATATGGCATAATGATGGGTAAGAGGCCAAGGCAGAAATCACTTTTTTTGAAAGAGTCACCTGTTGATGTTTGATTTCTCATGAATGAAAAAAGAGACAGTGTAGACATCTAAAAATGGAGTTCCATCTCTGTTAAGACTGGATTTCCAAAGCCAGAGCTATTAAATATTAAAAGTTTTGGTTGTATCTTTCACAGGGTGAATGGTTCCTATGAAGGTCTTTCAGGGGGGAGCACTACTGAGGGCTTTGAAGACTTCACTGGTGGAATTGCAGAGTGGTATGAGCTGCAGAAAGCACCACCAAACTTGTTCAAAATAATCCAGAAAGCTCTTCAGAAAGGTTCCCTTCTTGGGTGTTCTATTGATGTAAGTTAATATTATAGTCTCCATGTTCTTTTGAATGCAAAGGATTTGTTTGACTGATGTAATTGATCATGGCACAATAGTCAGAATTCCAACTTTCTTACTAGAACAGAAATCATACCCAAAAGCTGGAAAATCTATAATTCTTCCTTTCTTTAAGAATGGAGATACTGCTTTGAAGTGTGAAGTGGACCTGCATTGTCTACTAAAGAGCAAGAAAAAGCCAAATGAGTTCTGCTAGAAGCATGAAAGTGTCTTATCTCCCACTATGTTGCTTAGTCTCTCTTGCAGCAAATATATGGATTGTTGAAGGCTGCAGTTGAGGAATTAGCTGGTGCTCTAGGCATCTTCCTTCATCTGGAGATCCTCTTAAACAAACAGTAAGCCTCAAACCTTCTAATAGCTACAGTGCTTTACCAGAATTAGGCAACATGCCTGGAAATCTTTACTGAAAAATTTGAAAGTAAAAAGTGTGCCATTTTAATTTCTGGGCAACCAGCTTAGCTGATAAGAAGCAGATATACAGTAAAGTAAAGCAACTGACTCAGTAGCACATTCTGAGCAAACATTAAAATACTCCAAATAGGGAATATTGTTAAACTGTTCCACTGCCAATATTCAATCCTTCTGGTATGAGCTTTCAAATGCTCTTTTGCCCTTTCAAAAGCACTCTGAATCCAAACGGATTGGAAAACCCTGATAGTGTGGCAGAAAATTATCTGAGGTAATGCGAAATAGGTCTTTTGATGAGTTCCACATGTAACTGTGGTCTCTCTGCCAACAGTCCTGGCTCTTTGTGAAGCATATATAGATATTCTCTGCAAGGTTTTCTCATATACTAAAGTAGCAATGATGACAGTTCACTTGGATTTCTCAGTATACAATAATTGTCTCCAGGCCAAATGATGAAGCTTCTATTATTCAGGAGACTTCCTCAATATTAAGGGCACATTACCAAGGAATTATTTATTGTCTATGTATACATGTCTAGTGTTGTTTCTGATGTTGTCCAATGATCCCCTCTACTCTCTAAATTTTATCATAACCATAAAGTAAGCTAAGAGAATACAATATGCTAAGCTCTAAATCATGATTTACAGACCACACTTGCTGGTTTCAGCAACATATTGAGATTATGTATGAACCCAGCCAGTGAGTGCTTTAATTCAGCTACCAATCTTTACAGCTATGTTAACGTCAGATCTGAAAACCTGTCTCTAAATAGGTAGTTACTATCACATATAAACTTTACCAGATTTTTATTTTAAAATGTAAAAGGAATACAAAACATGAGAACAATGCTGAATCCCCACCAACTCTGGGCCACATTTGCTACCCACATTCTATTCGCAGCAGCTTTCTACCAGGAAAGATGGTTTTTAGAACTGAAACCAAGTTTGGGGAAATAACCTAGGGCATGTGACACAGGGAAAGAATTGGCTGGCTGATGAGAGCTTGTCTTTGCTCTATTGTTGTGGCCCTTCTGATTGTCCATGAGATTAGGGCAGATACATTTTACAAGCCTCTTGGGTAGTACCATCACATGCAGTTTCATTCCAAATAGGAAACTGAGCTGGAAATTTCCTTCACTCCAGTTAAAACATCCTGTTCAGTATCCTTTGTCTCAACAAATAGGAAAGAAAATAGGACCATTGTTTCGTGCTGCCAAAGTTAATGCTAATTGCATGAGTTTTAGGCTTGAAACTAATAGGCTGGCCTCTCTCCAATAAAGTTTTAATGAAATATACAGATGGCTCTAGTCCTGATAGGAGCTTTTTTCAAAAAAATGACAAGCATTCAGAGTGGCAGATGGCCAGAAAGACAGAGATGGGGCTGGGGAGGAAGTAGGTGGGTGGGGGGAGTTGAAGTGCTCCTGAGGTCATAAGTGCAGGTGGCCTGCCAAACTTCTGAATGTTGTTCACATGATTGCAGGAGTGCTGCAATAGCTTAACTTAGGCGACCTGGCATAACTATCATTTGTTCAGTGCTGCCATAACTTCTTCAAACAGTCTTTTAATGAATGGTTGTTAAGTGAAGACTACCTCTTAATCCAACCAACCAGTCAACCAAACCAACCAACCAATCTAACCAACAAACCACATTATGGGTTAGCATGGTGTGGCAACCCATTTCTGCTTCTGACCCAGACATTCCTATCACTCATCAGGACTACTAGCTATTGTAAAGCTAAACCTTTTTCTAGATGATTCTGTAGTCATAGCATTACCCAGTTAAGATCTGTCTTATTGCTGTCTTAGTTTTCTAGAGGTAAGTTAATTTACTTAATTTCTTCATGTTTCTAGATCACAAATGCTGCTGAGACTGAGGCAGTCACAACCCAGAAGCTGGTCAAAGGGCATGCATACTCTGTCACAGGAGCTGAAGAGGTAACACCTTCATTTTGGAAAAGCGGAAAATGAGTGTTGGTATTCAGAGATGGGTTGCTCCCGATTCAGCCTATTTCGGCTGAACCAGTAGTGGCAGCAGTGGGAGGCTCCACCCACCCACCCACCTGGACACTTCTGCACATGCACAGAAGCGTTGTGAAAGCGCAAGAGCACGAGAGCACAAGCAAGCCAGTAGTAAAATGGTTAGCAATCCACCACTGTTGGTATTACATGCTTGATTCATACTTGAATCTCAGGATGGGAACTATTCCAAAGAATATGGTGGTTACAGACTACGTTGCATGACATTCCCATGAACCAATTTTGTATCTAATTCTTTGATATTTCCTTTGTTCAAGTGGTTGTTCTGTGAGATGGTTGAGTGTTCTCTCTTGTGGCTGCATGGATTCATATTAGTCAGTTGTTTTGTTTAACCTGAAGATATTTTTGTATGGCTTGTATAATTTGCATCATGATGTCGCACACACTGTCTTGTATTATTTGTGTAATGACACTGTGATTCATGTGTTATCCTTTCTCTCCTTGCCTGTCCCCATAGATTCCCATGCACACATTACCAATAAACAAGCCACTTTACATTTAACTTCTTTGCCAGTAATTGCATGAGAAACTATAATTGCCCTCTCTCCCACTAGATAGCAATTTATTTCACTGTCATAAAAATATATATAATATATATTGTGTATAAACAGGTGCATCTATGTATGTGTTTGTAGCCAAAAAACATTTTAAAGTACTTTGTTTCTTTTCTCAGTTACTCCATCTATTAGTAATCTGATTTTTCTTCTTCTGGCCCTACTAGGTGAATTTCCGAGGCAGTATTCAGAAACTGATCCGGATCCGAAATCCCTGGGGAGAAGTTGAATGGACTGGAAAATGGAATGATAAGTGAGTGTTAAACTTGAAGACCAGAGCTATTTGCTGTCCAGTGTGAGCAAAGATTTCACATGATGTTTTGCATCATGAATGATCAAACTTTAAATAGTTGGTTTCCTTCAAAGCATGTTAGAAACTATTGACCCAAATTCCTTGTGTTTTCTGTAGCACTTTAATGAGATATCTTCTTTTTTGGTGCGGTACATAATCCTCATTCATAAAAGGTTATAGATTTCCTTAGTTTTAATACCAGACCCCTGCAGCTAGCAATGAGGGAAAGATGCTCTTTTACGTTCCTATTATAGCTGCTGCTCCTACAGCTTTGGGCCTAAGCATGGATGCATTTCTGCATTATGAACTGTCAGTATAGTTGCTCCTTCCATCACCTGTCAAAGTTGTAGGAAATTTTTGTTGGCTTTAATGAAGAGTGTGTGTGGGGGGGGTAGGTGGGTGAATCTAGTTAATTTAGTGCATCAGCAGGTACATTCAATAAAGTATTGCACAGGTAATCCTCAACTTACGAACACAATTGAGCCCAAAATTTATATTGCTAAGCAAGACATTTGTTAAGTGAGTTTTGCCCCATTTTACAATATTTCTTGCCACAGTTGTTAAGTGAATCACTGGAGTTGTTAAGTTAGCAACAGGGTTGTTAAGTGTATCTGGTTTCCCCATTGACTTTGCTTGTCAGAAAGTTGCAAAAACTGATCACGTGATCCTGGGATACTACAACCGTCATAAATATGAGTTAATTGCCAACTGCCTGAATTTTGATCACATGAATCACCATGGGGAGACTGGAATGGTTCTAAAATGGTCATAAATTACTATTTCAGTGATGTTGTAACTTTGAACAGTCACTAAATGAACTGTTGTAAGTCGGGGACTACCTATATTGTGCAAAGCTCAAATGTGAATATTAAACTTTCTGAAGAGAGACAATGGCAGGATATCCCCTTGTCTTAAATGTCAAAGAGAAGGAGACACCTAGATGAGTTGAGTGACCTGGTCTTTATTAGATGTACTGTCTATAGTTCATTAGACTGAGGGAAACAGTATTCTTTAATAAATCTCTAGCTTATTTGTACAAAAATAAACTCTGTCAGTTTTCAAGCATGCTGTTTTTTCTATTTGTAGATTAGTATTATTCATTTTAAATAATCAATTGAAATCTCAAGGCAAGATTGCCAAACAGAAGGACATCAAATCCAACTGATATATAAAAACATATCTTAAAAACGTAACTTTTATTTTTAGCTTTCCTTGGTCAAGATGGCCCTATGATAACTTCCTGTTTTTATATCTCTATTTAGCCATGGTTGTTTTTTTTCAAGCCATGGACTTATATTTTAAAATGAATTCTCATCTTCAGAAAAAAGAATTAAATATTTCCTGTTCTTTGGAAAACATGCACCTTTTTATTTTACTGCTAAATACACATCTTTTCTTTATCTTCCTTTTCTATTTTATTTCTAGTCCTTTTCTGTATTAGTTATTATATATAGCTTTTGTATTTTTCCAGATTGTGAATAATATACTTGTAGAACTAAACTACGGACGTGTGCATTTTATTGCACGCATAATATTTCAAGTTTATTTGCACTTATTTCTTGTTACTGATCTCTAAGGTTAATTTAACAAGTCAATTTTAATTATATCTTTCAAAACAAAACAAAACAAAGCTATAATGACCATTACGATCATCCATAATTGTTCCTATGATAAACATAACTGGGCATTTGTGGAGTTAATATGTCATGAAAACCCAGTCAACTATTACAGAGGGCAATTTTTAAGTAAAGTATGCTTGAGTTATTTTTCATGAAATTAATGTTCCTCATCACCAATAGCATCCAAAAATAGAAGAAAGGGATAATATTGAAAGGATGAGCCTGGCAAGTCCCTTTCTCTAATGATTTGATTTTTCATCTTCCTCTGACTGCATTGAGGACCTAAAATATTAGATAAGTCTCTCTGTGGTGGCTTATTGGGCTTTTCTAGAGATAATAAAATAAGCACCATTGCTTCTTGTAAAATGGCTGTTATTTGAGGTATCCCTGGCCAAGGTCGGCAACAACTTGCCACAGTGAATTTGCCATACCCAACTTGCCATGTTCAACTTGTTGTAACCAACTCACCATGGCCAACTCACTCTGGGACAACTTGCTGTGGGACAAGAGTTACACTAATATCGAATAAATAGTCAAATAGAATCTTTAAAGAAAGGATGCCAAAGGAGGGACAAAATAAAATGTGAATGACAAAAATTCACAATTCATTAAATTTAATTGTTGAATTGTCCTGCAATGAGTTGTCCCATGGCGAGTTGGACATAGCGAGTTGTCCTGCAGTGAGTTGGCCATGGTGACTTGTCTGTGGTGAATTAGCCAGGATAAGTTGACAATAGTGAGTTGTCCCATTCTGCTCTGGCCATATCTCACAGGTTGACAGAGGTGAATATGTATCTTGGGGTAGAAGCAGACTGTGCTAGCAAATGCAAACATTATGAGATTGGATTTTCTTCAGCCAAATTGTTGAGGCTGTCCAAGATAATACAATCACTATCCATAATTCTGAGTCTAAAACTTCAAATAATGTTGGTTTCCTACATTTAGATGCCCAAACTGGAATGGTATTGATCCAAAAGTGAAAGAGAGCTTGACCAGACAGCATGAAGATGGAGAATTTTGGTATGGCTGGTGACTTCCTGGGAATTGGGAAAGAAGGACAGTATGTAATCGCCCTGTAATGCTTAAATAAGTTGTCAGATACTTTATTTCATCAAACTGTAACAGGGATATATTAGACAGATGGAAATAAACATATTAAATTTTGGTCCATATCATTATATGGGGGCCATAGAGGATCAGAAGAAAATTGTTTGTATAAGAAATGTTTCATTTCTAGGTGGGAAATATCTGTCCGTTACGTTGAGGTTCTATTGCTAGAGAATAGTTCAATTTTCTTCACTCTTTTGCCCTCTAGATAACGTTGGATTTCAGCTCTTACAATTCCCAGTCAATGTGAATAGAAAAAAAAAGATGGGAATTGAAATCTGACATATCTTGAGGCGTGACGCTGTGACAAGATAACTTGTCAAGGAGGCTTGCTGTCATAGTGACCAATGATTTTTCTTGGTTTTCTTTGAAGCTGTGACAGCAGAAGGGGAGAAGCTTGTCTGAAATGGCTTTTCTAAGTATGGTATTTATGGCATTACTCCACAGGATGTCATTTAGTGATTTCCTGAGGCATTATTCTCGTCTTGAGATCTGTAATTTGACTCCAGATACTCTGGCCACTGACAAATATAAAAAATGGAGGTTGAACTTGATAGATGGAAACTGGAGAAAAGGTTCCACGGCTGGTGGATGCCGAAATTATCCTAGTAAGTAATTTTTCAGCCTCTACATGGCTTCATATCCATGAATATATCTTATGACTATAACCATGTTGCTTGTATCTTTAAATTTTATTTTGTTTTATTTGTTTCCTAGTATAATTTGATTGCTTATTAATAACCTATGACTATCACTAAATGTTGTATCTTATGATTCTTGATGAATGTATTCTATTTTATTTTTCTTTATGTACACTGAGAGCATACGCACCAAAGACAAATTCCTTGTGTGTCCAATCACACTTGGTCAATAAAGAATTCTATTCTATTCTATTCTATTCTATTCATATATGTTCTGTTGTATCTTCCTAATAATCTATGAATAATAGAATTGCCTAGAGGTAGTCTTTGACTTATAACAGTTGCCTAACTACTGTTTGAAATTATGACAGGCCCAGAATGGGTGCTTTATGGCCAATAAAGCCCTCCCTAATTGTGGGTAGTTTTAATATGATGTCACATATGGGCACAGATCTATCAGTTAAATTATTGGAGTTTTAATTGTTTAAAAGAAGATACCCACATCCCTCATCTGGAAGAAAATCATTCTAAAGTTTGCTTGTAGGTTTACTTTTATAAGCACTCTTAAAATGAGCACACCACTCTAAAATGTGTAGGGCTGCATCTTTCCAAGCCACAATTCCTTATGAAGATCAGTATAGCCTGGGCATAATTCGAGTGACTTCCTTTCTTTTATTCAGATACGTTTTGGACGAACCCACAATATTTGATTAAACTTGAGGAAGAAGATGAGGATCCAGATGACCCAGAAAGAGGTTGTACCTTCTTGGTTGGTTTGATTCAGAAACACCGTCGGAAGCAGAGGAAGATGGGAGAGGATATGCACACAATTGGCTTTGCAATCTATGAGGCAGGCTCTTTTTTTTCTCTGTTAAACCAAATCTTGAGATAAAGATAATGGATCACTTCTTTCTAGCTGCAGAATTGACACATTCAGGAATATCTTGTAAATGAATTGCAATGTTAAAGATTCATGCAATCCTCTCAAATGAATTATACGGCACCTCTTTTTTACCATAAGTGTACAGTTCATTAAAACAGTTGAATGAAATGATGATTTATGCAAGGGTGTGGAACCTTTTCCATTCTAAGAGCCAGATTACTATTTGGGAAATCTCACAGGAGCTAAACAAACGAGATTGGTTGGGTTTCTTTTTCTCTGAAATCTCATCTTGGGCAGAGGTGGGTTGCTCCATTCGGCCCGGTTCGACCAAACTGGTGGTGTTGGCGGGAGTCCCCACCCACCCGTTCAGACGCTTTTGCACATACGCAGAAACGTTGCGTGCAAGTATGCACATGAGCACGAGCAAACCGGTAGTAAACCAATTAGTAATCCACCACTTCCTTTCATTGAGCAGAGAGAGGTATGGCTTAACTATGTCTGGCTTTTTCTGATCTCAATCTTTTAAATTTTTACCTGTGTAAAATCAATGCATGTTATGCTCCATTATATATTTGGGACTTACACCCCATCTCTTACAGTCATTTTTATTTATTTATTTTCATTTTATTTATCCTTTGCAGTCAATCATAACTCTGCTTTTTATGATGTATTTTTCAAAATTCCTAATGCATTTGTGGGCTCAAAGGATTTGAGGCCAGTAAGAAATAAATAAGTTAAAACTGTTCTAGTAAAATTTGAATTTGAATTCCTTTCTTTATTCAAACTGTATGCCTACAGATCAGTAAATAGAGCAGTTTACTGTTATTTAGTAAAAAAAAATCACAACCAATAAAAATGTCTACGTATGTTGAGTATGATTAAAATCAAAACTGTAATCAGTATTAGACCGTGAGCATTCAACAGTTCAATTGAAATTAAGAATGGCAAGAAGTAATTAGTCACCATATGCTGTGTGGAAGAGTTCTGTCTGAAGTAGCTTTTAGAGATTGAGAGATATCTTAATTCTACAGGGTGGCTATTCCATAAGGTTAGAGCAGTAGTTAAGAAACTACTTCCTGGGAAGAATCATTGTTCAGTGTTATTAATAAAAAGTGTATAATTTGTTTTTCTTTTTGCTCTTCCACAGGTGCCTGAACAGGTATGTGGTGTATTTTTTTTTGTAAAACAGAAAAATTTCCAAATATTTATAGACATTTTTAACTAAACATTGTATTTAAAAGGGAGTCTCCCAATATTAAAGCGATAGAATTGAATATACTGTTTTAATTGTGGAAATTTTGCTCTTCATAATCTTTTGCAAACAATTATGCATAACAGAAGTTCAAACTGGGCAAGTTGAGATCTATTGTTTTTGGCAGGGTGGGGGTAGATGTTGAGGCTTTTCATTTTTGAAAACTTGTAGATGGTTCAAAAACTATCTGTGGTAAAAGTAAGCATCAGGCATTTAAAACACCAATTTTGGTTTGCAGTGCACTTGTGGGAGTCTGTAAATTTACAGCCCTCCCACACAGCCATCCAGACTGCTATCTTGGTTTTTGAATTTTGGTAGATGTAGATATTCTGGAGAACACTCCTGTCATGCAAATTAACAGAATGTAGCTTCATCTTCTGATGTGATAATGTTATATTGCTCTACTAAGTTATCTGAGTAGGATTCTGATGCTTTAAGAATAATAATTTCCGTTTTATCCTTTCCTTTCATGAAGCTTTCTGCCCAAAAGAAGGTCCATCTGAGCAAAAACTACTTTCTCACAAACTGAGCAAGAGAACGATCCAATACATTTATCAATCTTCGGGAGGTGTTAAATCGATTCAAGCTTCCCCCAGGAGAGTATATTATTGTGCCATCCACCTTTGAACCCAACAAGAATGGGGACTTCTGCCTCAGGGTTTTTTCTGAAAAAAAAGCTGAATCACAGTACGTCATACATTTACTAATCCACTTTCTCTGTCTTTTCATGGAATCCATGAATATGAAAATACTTAGAAATAAGAAAACAGGTCAGAGATATTGAAATCCATAGCTGAAGATCTATAGGGAAAGCTAAAAGGAAAGAGAATTATTTTTGAGGCCAGTGTCAGAAATGAGCCATAGCCATAAAGCTAACAATGAACCTATATTTAACTTTAGTTCTGTAGGGTTCATACTTTTTATACTTTCTTATAATATCTGTTTTTATATTGGTTGTGAATTGGAAACTAGGGGGAATATCAGTAGAGATCTCAAATCTAAAACAATGATGAAGATTGCTGATGAAGATGAGAAAAACAAAGTTTAAAAAAATTGAACCAAGATCCACTATATCTTTGAACCAAGGTCCACTATATCTATATCCTCTGCCTTTCTTCTCATTGAAATATATATTTTTAAATGCTAAACATTATTTTATCCTTTCCCTTCATGAAAATCCCTGATAAATAAGAATGATATCACAAATAAAATCCCCTAAGATTAATTAAAGGCCTGTTAAGAGACAAAGCAATTCATCCACAACAGGGTTGGGTTTCCCCAGGCACTACTGCCAGTTCGCTCATGTGCACATGTTGCATGCTTGATGCGCACTGCATGCACATGCACAGTGCAATTAAAATTGGTCTGCGCATGCGCAGAACTGAAAAATAAGATGGCGGTGCCAATGGCAAAACCTGGGGAACTGGTTCGGAGGTATGGCAGGCCTGGGTTGCTGCTAGTTCCAGCAACCCAGGTTGCCAAACCATTACCGGTTCGACCGAACCAGTAGGAACCCACCGGTGATCCATAAGCAACATTGGGTACATCTATATTCAATATAACAGGCATGAAATACTCAAGAATGCCTAGATATAAAAACTGGTGCCAAAATGCCAATGAAATGGGTGCTTGATGCATTTCGGGAAGGAAGGTATTCCAAAATTAGAAAATATACCACCTTCTCCTATCATTTATTTCTTTTATAACAAGAAAAGTTGGACTGCCTTTCCTATTTTTAATAATATTTGATATTTACTTGAAACCTGGATCTCCATCAATATTCACAATCCTGTCAGCAGCCAAATCACGTTTTGTCTAATTTTATTTAACCTTATATTTTGCATATTTTTTCACATTTTAGTATGTTTTATTTATTTTTTTAGATTCAAAAATATAGAAGCTACCGTACTTGAGACAAAATATTAGCATTGAGTTTGATCTGTATTCCAGTAATGTAATTGGCCTCACAGAGATCCTAGAAGTAGTCAAATATGGCAGGGCTATAATTCGGTGATGCATTTGCTCAGGTCTACTTCCTCTGAAAAAAGGCAAAGGTGGTAGAAAGCATCCTGGGAAGCTAGGGAGGAAATAGGAAGGTAGTCAGTCTCACTAGTTCAACTTTTGGAACTTGGCATCCAACATTTGAGGGCATCTCTAAAATATATTTTCAAAATTCCAAATATATCCATCACCCAAAATTTAGGGACACCCTTCCTCAAAGAGTGTTATGTTAGCCTTTTGAAGTAGACCAAGCCAAGAAACAGTCCATAAATTTGACTGTGGTGCAAAATGGAGTCTTGAAGTCCTGACTGTTCCACTGAATTTATTTCTAGTGCTTCTTGTTTTTGTAATCATTTCTGTACACTGTAGATTCTGTAAGGTCATCTGTATACAAATGCTTGTGTCCACTGAAAGCCACAAATCATATGGCTGTGTATAAGAATATTTATTCATTTCTTACTCTATTTTGACATCTTAATTTTTTTATTAAAAAAATATTGTTTTTGTATTTTTCTGTGTGATTGTCCAGATAACCAAAAATGGCAATGTTGCAAGTATGTGCCTTTTCTGTGGATAGTTCTAAAAATACTTTTCCACAGGTGGCTCGGTGTATTCATAGCTTCACCCTGCCCCAGTTGTGTTCCTCTTCCTATCTGAAAGTCAATCATCTTTTTTGTGTTAACTCATCTATGTTTATTTGTAGAGTTGTTGATGATGAAATTGAGGCCAATATTGAAGAGGTATGTTAGCTAATATGAATATTTGTTTTGACTGCAGTCGGGCTGCATAAGCCAGGATTCCCAGTTGGTCATACTGGTTGGGAATTCTGAGAGTTGTCTTATATCTCTTGTCTTATCTACTTACTGTGTATCTGAGTATATTTGGTATATCAGTATATCAGGTGGGATGGGCACCTTTGTGAACATTTCATGTTTAAGTTTGTGGTACCTCTGAACATTGGTCAAACTGCAGAAACACTTTCTGATAGAGTAGCCAGATGTTGATTGATTCAGAAAAACATTTGATTCACGGGGAGGAAGACCAAGTAAGACTCCACATTAGTCTCTGGCTTATAAAAGTTAATTCTGCAGTATTACACTGCAAAAGATGACTTATAAAACTTTAAGTCTTCAAAAAGACATAGAAAAAGCAATGTTAAAGGACAGAGGCAAAACAAAAGATATGCTAAATACATTTAAGGCACATTTTCTTCTTTATGAAATAGCAACTTCAATAAGCAGCAGCTTTTAAATTTTTCTTTCACTTTCCTTGGCAATTATTTTCTTTCCTAGAAAGAACTCACTGAAGATGAAATTGAACCCAATTTTAAGAAATTATTTAAACAATTAGCTGGAGAGGTGAGTAAATGAACGTTCCATGGGGAAAAATACACAGTTCTCTGGGCCATCTACCATGTTTCACCGAAAATAAGACAGAGTCTTATTTTCTTTTGACCTCCGAAATAAGTGCTTGGCCTTTTTGGGGGGAGGCCTTATTATTTTTGAGGTTTAGGAGACAGCGAGCATGGTCACCTCATGGCTGCTGCTGTGTTGCAATATTTTTGGTGTAGGTTTATTTTCATGGGAGGGCTTATTTTAGCGCATGCGCTCAAAAGGCCGATTGGACTTATTATCCAGGGAGGTCTTATTTTCAGGGAAACAGGGTATGGCTGAAGTAAGATTCTAAAATACCACTGAAGAATACGACTTGATAAAAGTAATTTAATTAGTTGCAGAAGCAATATTTAGCATACATGTTCTTAATGCTATTTTTATCTCATCTTTTACCAGGATGCTGAGATCTCAGCCTTTGAACTGTGTAATATTCTGAAAAAAATCTTAGCAAAACGTAAGTATTTCCTTCTCTTTCTTGCTTTAGCCTTTCCTGCCTGAGTGCTCTCCGCAGAGTCTGTGCTATAGTTTCCATTATCCCCTGTATTATTGGACTGAAACCCCAGAATTCATCTGGGGGATGAATAAGCTGGAGAAAAATTAGTTTGAAAACATGCTGTCAGTGGTCATGAAACCAGCCTCACCTTAGATGCTTAAGAGCAAAGAAGATCCAGAGCATCCCAAGATGTGAAATGTGGGCCTGATTAAATATCCAATTCCTCTGCTCTTGGATCAATTCTGTGAGAGAAAAAATAACTCAATTTTGAGGATATTTTATCTTCATAGGAAGCCAGCTAAATAAATTGGACAGGCAATGCATGGTTTTCCCAGTAGTAATGTATGGCTGTGAGAGCTGGACCATAAGGAAGGCTAAGTGACGAATAATTGATGCTTTCAAATTGTGGTGTTGGAGAGGACACTTGCAAGGAGATCAAATAATCAGTAATCTTAAGGAAATCAACCTTGACTGTTCTCTGGAAGGACAGTTACTGAAGCTGAAGCTCAAATACTTTAGCCATCAAATGAGAAAAGAGGACTTATTGGAAAAGACCCTGATGTCGGGAAATATTGAAGGCAAAAAGAGAAGGGGATGAGATGTTTAGATAGTGTCATCAGCACAGTGGACATGAATTCAGATTCAGGGAGACATTGGAGGACCTGGTGTGCTATGTCCATAAGGACACTAAAAGTCGGACACAACTTGACTACTGAACAACAGAGCTGGTTGGTTCCTTCTGCATATTTATTTGTATCTTTCTTAAAGCCCTAAGGCATTTCCAAAGTTCTGCATGTCCATAGGATTTGATTCAATGAATCAAAGCATTTACTTCTTTTTCACTTTGATTTTAATACTGGATGATTGTCAAACTTACCCTGTTATTTGAACCTCATATGTCTGAATGTTCTTTGTACAGCTTCACACAGATGTAATTATAGCTGAGCCTGCCCTTTTTGCTGAGCATGTTACTTTTTTGGCTAATCATCATAGTTGTAAGGAGTGAATATCAGAAATGAGACTTCTTAGGTTTATCATATCTAAGAAGCAAACATCTGGATTAAATGCAAGAGTAGAGTGAAAGATATCTCTATTTTTTGCTGCCATCTTGCCATTGTCCTTTTTTTTTTTGCAGCACAGATAATAGTAGACTTTAGAATTTCTCAGTCACGTTACTGATTGTGAAATACGCCTTACAAAAAGATCATCTGACACTTTATTATTGTTTGATTATATGCAAAAGTTCTTTTTTTCAGGCATTTTAAGTGATATTGTTAATACATTCTCTTCTCTTGGTGTGGCAACTTTATTAATTTTTTTCTTTGCCCTTAATTGAATTGTATATTCAAATATTACAAGCCACCTTTCTAAAATCAAAGCCTTCAGAAGTAATAAAGCAACTATTAAAATGTTCCAGTAGTGAAATATTGTAAGAAAAGATAATAATTCATAAAAGCTTTAAAATCTCATTAAAATATAATTTGGCCAGTTTGAAAACAAAACACCACATGTAGACAAAAGCAACATAGTTAATAAAGCACAGCCATTAAACTTTATGAAAGAAAACCTTTTAAAATTTTGCAAGCAAAGAAGATGACTTTGGGCTTGAAAAAGCCTTATTCTTTAATGAATGTTAATTTATTATTGCAATAAAAGACTAATAGAACCTGCAGCATGGGCAAGAGAAGGAAGTTATCAGTGCTTAAAATTAGCTTTTTAAAGAAATGAAATAGAACTAGATGACTAGAATAATTGCAGGACCAGCAAAAGATTTTAAAGTCTTAGGACGATTTCTATGTGTAACACATTTGCTGTTTTTCTTTGCAGGTCAAGATATTAAATCTGACGGCTTTAGTATTGAAACTTGCAAAATCATGGTTGATCTATTAGATGTATCCTTCAGTGTATGTTGTACATTTGCTGTTTGAGGCGCTAGTAGGGAAAAGTAGGGGCAGCAAAATTATGGATGGTCATTAAAGTAGTATGATGAAGATCAACCTGGTAAGAGAATGGTCAAGTTTATCGTGTGCTGGTTAATGAAATCCTTCTCATAGTTAAAGTCTTCTGTATTTAATAGTTGTATGCTGCATCTCATCCCTTGGGTAAATGGATAGGAACATGCCAATCATAGCTTTTTTATTTTACCAGATAGTGTTTGTCTGAAAAGGGCATATTGAGTAGCAGGATGTTCCACGTTGAACTGCCAAGATTCAGTTCAGATTGTGGCGGGATGTACATTTATAAGTATTGAAATTGAAGGGTGACATATCTATAGCTATCATGTATCTTTAAAAAAAAATGGTAGCAAGGCTAGGAGGAGATCTTAGACTAAGAGCTTGGGGACACACCTATCAAACAAACAAAATAATAGTGCTAAGCTATATGGAACTTGAGTATGATCCTTATTCATTCATTATATGTTCGTAAACAGAGAAGGATGCAACTAGTTACTATATTTCTGCCTTTATTCACATGTGCAAAGAATACTTTTGCCTATACCACATTTAAAGCTTAAATCAGGCAAACCCTACTTGGGCTAAAAAATTATCACTAGATGGCAGTAACAAAATACAGAAAATTGTAACAGGCCAACCATCTATTAGTGGTCTGGACTTTTGAAGCCCAAATTTGGCATACCTAATAACATCAAAATTCTTTCTGGAGTTCCATTGTATTGTTCTCCTGCACATCCCATTCTGCAGTTTTCCTGTCCTACAATTCTACCTCAGCTACTCAAGATCTTCTTCTAATTGCTCTGCTTGATTTTTCAGGAATATCTTCCCGAAACAAATGTGTAACTGTCAGGCTTATTCATTTATGCAGGATTTGGCTGTTCACGTTAGAAATTCTTAAATCTGCAGTCTCAACAAATCTGGAAGTATCAAGTTAGGAAAAGCCAACTTATTTTTTTTTCAAAGCATAAATCCATACAGTTCCCTTTTCTTGCATTTTTACCCTACTATAATTGTTTTTCCCCTCCCTGTCCTTCTCCAATGTCAAATGTTAGCTTAATGCTTCTTGGAGAACAATTTTTTTTAACCATTGACATTCTATAACATTATGAATATACATGCAATGAAACAATAATAAAAGACAAAACAGATCAATTACTTTATTCAGATAGTCCGTGACTTACAACTGGTTCCTTAACAATTGTTTGAAGTTACAATGGACCTGCCCAGAGCTACTTAGAAAACTGTTTTCAGACTTAAAAGAGTTGCATACACCCCACAGTCATATGATTGCATTTTGGGCTCTTGGCAACTAGATAATTTGCAGCTTCCCGCAGTTATATGACTGTAATTTACAATTTGTTGCGGGTTTCTGGCATTAACTTCCAGTTTCTGGTAAAAAATGCCTGTTGGGGAAAATGAATTTCCTTAATGACTTTTGTAAAAAATAATTGTAACTTCGAATATGAACACTTGATGCAAAAATACAAATACAAAATACAAAAATACCAATGCACAATACAAAGAGCACCCCAACTCTGGCTGCACATTTGATACATCTTTATCTACTATGTACCCTCCACTCCAAGTTCCCCACCCCTCAAATACAGAAACAAAATGGTTACATAAAAAGGTGTCTATCACATACCTAAGAACAGGTTTCTTTCTACAAAAGTAGCAAGTGTTTAGTTGAAGGTAGCAAATTTGGAGCAAATAAGATTCTGCTCTGTAGACTGATGTGGGAGAATTATCAAAGAAAACTCCTACAGCACAGGTGTCAAACTCGGCATCACATTGCTGTCACGTGACGTATTGCAACATTTTTCCCTTCGCAGAGCTGGGGCGGGTGTGGCCCAGGGGCTGCCAGTTTAACATCCTTGTATCTACAATGAGAGAATTTGGGATTTTTTTCTATTTAAATTGGAAATTTCTTTAACCAAAGCAGACTGATGGAAGTGGTAAACTGGGGCTGAAAGAATTCCACATACTTTGGACAAAGATCCAGAAATACCAGGTAAAAGTGGGCCTTTGATTGGGTAATTTTGATTATTTAAAATCTACTCTAGCAACATGGATTGTGTAGTTTGGATGGATTTTCTGGTACCAATAGTGTCATTAATATCAAGCAAAATACATTGTTGTTCTGAGTGCATGAAATTTAAGTAACATTGTCTTTTATAGTAGAAAGTGCAATTTGTTCGTTTGCTGTGGAATTCTGGGAGTTGAAGTCCATACATCTTCAAGCTGCCAGGGTTGAGAAATACTGACTTAAATAGTATTCCATCAAATTTATAGGGCCCAAGATTAATTCTCCAGAAGAAAAATAACACTTATTTTAATGTTATCAAGAGAACAAATGCACCTGAATAATAAATAGGAAATAAAAAGGGGCTATCTGCATATGTTTTCTTTTACTTTAGATAATGCAGTATTTTTAATAGGGAAAATGTTCTTTTTTTTACATTCTGTAGCAAATTTATCGGGATATGGATGTAGATCGTTCTGGCACCATGAATTCCTATGAGATGCGAAAAGCCTTGGAGCAAGCAGGTACTTTTCAATCAAATGTAGAGATCACCAAAGACTAATGATTAAGGCCCAATACATTATAGCCTCCCTCATCATAGCTGCTTCCATATGTGGTCCTGAAAAGTTGCAATACCCCATAGGTAGAATAACGTAGTCTAGTTTTCCCCAATGTCCTCCAGATTGTTCTTTTATCATCTCCACACTTCCCACCATGCCAGTGGGTGCCCTTTCTAAGAATGATGGGAAGCATAATTGGAGGACATCTAATTGGATAAGACTGGAAAAAACAATTCCAACACTCGGGTAAGGTCTGTAGCAATATCGAAGCTTCTGCTTATGTGATCAGAATGTTTACCTTAATATATTAAAATGTTTTAAAGCATTTTACACCAGTTCCTTTTTGCTTTGTATTCAGCTGCACCAAGGATGCATCTGTAGCAATGATTGTATTTTGCTTGTATTTCAGGATTTAAGTTGGATTGCCAATTGCATCAAGTCATTGTGGCCCGTTTTGCTGATGAGCAGCTGATCATTGATTTTGATAACTTTGTTAGGTGCTTGATTCGACTGGAGACTTTGTTCAGTGAGTATCTTTAATTTAGGCTGGTAAACTTAAAATAATGCTTTTGTTTAGTTTTTAACTTTACTGAGTTTCAGATAGACAATATGAACTGCTTCCTCACAACAAGATTTGTAGCAATGAAGTGCATATGTAGATTATGCACAATTCTTAAAATATAAAGGGCACTTTGAGAAAATAAATAAATTGACTTTCTAGCTTTAACTAACAGGTTGTAATTAGTTATGAAATTGAACAATGCTTTACATTCCCATAATTACACATCTTAGTTTAATTACAGACTTTTAGGGGCAGGTCTAATAGCTAAGAGTAGTAATTTTCTCCCTTGTTTCTCTTGATGAAATAGTTTTTGCTGCTTTTTTTCTTTCCTGTGAGAAACTGATGAACTTTATTAATTCAAACTCATTTTTTATCGCCTTGTAGAGATATTTAAGAAACTGGATACTGAGAAAACAGGAACAATACAGATGAATCTTGACACTGTAAGTTAGCAAGCCTGTCAAAAGCTAATGACACAAAGTCACTTTGGAGGAAAAACTTTGTGTTTGCTGGTTTAAAACAACCTTGAGTATGCATGATGTTTATATATCAGGCACTGGAAATCTTCTATTAACTAAATATCTAGTTCACAGATATGCAATGTTTCTTTATTAAAGTTGCTAGGGCCAGGAAATTTTGAAAAACACTAAGATAGCAGTTTCCATGCAGCTGTGGCTAACATATGACAAGCTATGCCTCAGGAGAACAGACTGCCATAATTAAGCCCTGTAGCAGGAGAAACTCATAAAAACTCATGTTTTTCTGTGCTTGCCTACACAGACTCCAGAAATAGATAATGCTTACAGGTTTTAATTAATTATATTAAGGAAATATTAATATACAACTCATTGCATATATTAAAATAATTCTGGACTATACTCCATCCTCTACAAGTCAAACTTGTTCATTATTTTTTCACATACTTTTCTTCTTGATTAAAACAATGTTTTGGCAGATATAGAAACCACTCAGCCCCTCTGCAGCCCTAAAAGCAGAACCATGAATTTGTTCTCGTGGCTGTATTTAAGCACAATCTTGTTAATAAATGCACCGGAGACAATGCAGCATTTCAGCAGACTCGGGGAGGGAATGGCAACATTAGATAGCATGGATATATCTTGTGCATTCTTAATTTAACTTGAAAACATGCATAACCCAATACACATCATTACCCTGGACATTGCAGCGCTTTTAAAATGCTGTAATTCATTATGTAAATATCAAGATATATATTCTACTTGAACACAGCAGAGTAGATGACAAAGAACAAAACAGATAATATAAATCGGCTTGAGAGCAACTTAATTGTGCCAGCTATTAGCTGCATTCCTCAAACATTTTGCTCGAGAAAGTTACTGCTCTATCAAAAAATGTTCTCAGGCTCTTTCCCAAGCCATGTTCAGAGTTTTTCATAGATTAAGAAACTAACACTATGATGTTCCCTAGCAAGGGGAGGCAACCTAGCATCATCTACACATGTTTAAAATATCAACCCCATCAGTCCTTCTAGTCTAGCCAGTAGGAAAGCATTATGAGTGATTGCTAATATGTGGTATAAGATTAACAATCTGCAAAACATCAGCATTTGTAAAAATAAATCAGAGGAAATTGTATGTAGATTTGGGGCTTTTATGAAATGTAGTTTTCTGACTATTGTATTGTTTACAGATCCAGACAGAAAAGTTCTTAATTCTCCCTGTAAAGCAATGCTAGTCAAATTTGTCTAGAATTTGTGTCAAATTTACTTAGTTGACTCCAGCCTTTTTCTACATAAAAAATATTTTTGAAAAAAAAAAACAAATTTTATCTAAATTGTTATATATTTGTTTCAGGATGCTCATAGCATGTTTTTCCTTCTCTTCCACAGTGGTTGTGCTTTACTACCATATGAGAAAGCAATGAAAAAATGGCAAAAAGTTCTCTTGGGAATAAACATGGAACATATTTAATAAGGGCTTATTATACATCTTGTACTTAACTGTGAAGCTGCTAAAGGAGAGTATTGAAAAAACAAAGCAACTGCCAAATAATCTTAATATATTAACTGTAACTTTTTTTGTAATTCTATAGTATTTGCTTAAAGTCTTCCAGGTTTGCCATAAGGTAGATTTCTGGGAGTGGTTATCCTATTATTTCTAAGAGTATTGAGAATGGCTGCATTTTCTATTAAAAATTAGCTTTGTATTACAGATTATCTTAACCAACTGAAATCTGATTCACTGGTAAAGAATGCTTTTGCCACTCAAATAAAAGATAGTTCATAATGCTCTCAGATCAGATTTCCTTTTCTCTTTCCTATTTCTTAAGATTTTTTTAAAAAAATCTAGCAGTTGAATATACGTTAGTTATAAAGTGTCACATTATGTGACCACATCACTTAGCACAAGCAATCCTTTTGATATTGTTAATTTAATTCCACTAGCTACTAGGTGAAGAATTACCCTGATCCAAGTCATTCCCAGCCTGGTCCCTTCCAACCCTGAGCTTTGGTAAGGCAAAGGACTGCTTGCTCTGGAACTCCTCCCACCCACCTATCTCCTTACCATCTGTGCCCTTTTGACCACTCTGCACAGCAGCATTCCTGGCAGCAGTGATGGACCTTCAGCAGCCTCAGCTAATCACCATTGCCCCCCCCCTCTACTTCAGCCCCAGTGCCACTGTTGGGGGGTACTACCTCAAGCTGTGACCAGCCACAAGGTACAAAGCCCAGGCCGCCTTGTGCTCTGCAGGCCCTGCTGATCTTTGGCCACCTTCCTCCTGCAGCTGACCAGGTATGCCCGGTCTGACCCCATGCAAGAAAACTGCTGCCTGTGCCTTCTTTCTGAGCCTGTGCACACTGTTCTGGAGGTGGATGGAACTGAAGCACTCCTGTTGTTATAAGAGGGGCAGGCTGCCAAATGCCCAAATTTTGATCATGTGATCATAGGGATGCTGCAATGGCTGTAACTTCGGGTTCTGGACATCAATACCATTCACTCATTGCCACTGTAACTTCAAATGATTGTTAAACAAGGACTATAACTATAACACAGTGTTTATTTAGTTAATGATTAATCTTCTAGTATAAGAATGCATTTTCTGGATATGGATATTCCCATAAAGAGGCTTATAGAATACACATGTGTGTATACACACAATTGTTGTACAAAGTTATCAGACTTCATCTTTGACACTGCCAACACATATTTTTGTCTCTAAAGCTTAATGAAAAGTTGAATGTCCAAAGGAGTAAGGGCCACAGGATGCTTGATGCAGCTGGGTAGATTACCATAATTCAGGAAGATATGCACTTGTCAATAATAGATATAAAAGCAATTTTAAAATAAACTGTTTCCTTTTCAGATATCTTTCTTCTCACACAACCCTCTATACAATCTAATTGGTCAGGATAAAGTAATAGAAAGTAAATGTCAAAAGCAATGTCATTTTATTGTTTACAGAAAAATATCCCTGATAACCAAGAAATGCTGACAACACTGGGAGTCACAAATTTTCATCTTTATTGTGCTCACATCAGCACATGAGAACAGTCCAATGACAGGAGCACTGAGTATTTAAAGAGTAAAAACAAACTGGTACTTTCTGAAGCAAATGTTTAATCACAGTTAAGGAAAAGACAGTTGTAACAAAATTTGTGAGATGCAAAAACTGGCTTTTCTATGTTTAATACCGAAGTTGCAAACATACTGTTTGCAGGGAAGAAAAAAAACACACCTCACATAAGCTACATCACATGTGACATATTTCAAATACTTTGGAATCCTAAAATGCTACTGCACTTAAAATTATTGCTTAAAGAACTGCTTTAGATTCCTTAATTCAACAGATTTCATGATATTTCATCCTATTAGCTCTGCTACTAAGACATTTTAAAAACACAATGTTACTAGTTTCTATATGAAAAGGTTACCTGACTTAACATTGCTCTGTTTCTACAGAATGGAATGAAAAAGGTTTAAGAGAGACTGTCTGGAGCAATTGTTGGGTTCTATTTTACTAGTAAGTTACAAAAGAGGATGGAAAGAAAGCTACTGTAGAAGCAGAAAAGGCAGTGATTGACCATCAGGTCTAATTTGCCTAAAGGGGAAACTAATTCATTGCTTGAGAAAACAGCATTGTAGAATTTCTTCTATAATTTTTATCCTTCATATGTGTTCAAGGTATATTCAGCCTTGCTTTTATATCACATTATTACCAAAGGAAGTCTCACAGATGCATTTCTGCAGATGAAAAGGAATACATCCTGCAGTTAATACTTCATAAAATTGCTTCTAACATTTTCATGCCAAACTTCTTTGCCTTGGCTTAATCCTTGGGTATAGCTGGAAAAGGAGAAAAGAGAGGTTGTTGTTTCTAGTACACAAGTCGACACACAGTAATTATTTTAAAACATACCTGAGATGCTCTCCTTGAAGCTTTTTTAAGAGCAATATGTACTGTATATACAGACACACAAAAAGGTAAAGGTTTCCCCTGTCCAGTTGTATCCGACTCTAGGGGGTGGTGCTCATTTCTATTTCTTAGCTGAGGGAACCAGTGTTATCTAAAGCAGTGTTTTTCAACCACTGTGCCGTGGCACACTAGTGTGCCGTGACATAGTGTAAGGTGTGCCGTGGGAGAATTACTTTATATATAGTCAATATAAGCACAGAGTTAAAAATTTTTAACATTTTCTAATGGTGGTGTGCCTCGTGATTTTTTTCATGAAAAAAGTGTGCCTTTGCACAAAAAAGGTTGAAAAACACTGATCTAAAGACATTTCTGTGGTCCTGTGGCCAGAGACATATACACCAAGGTGCAATAGACACTGTTACCTTCCCACCCAAGTGGTACCTGTTTATCTACTTGCATTTGCATGTTCTGGAGTTGCTTTGTTAGCAGGAACTGGGGCAAGTGACGGGAGCTCATCTCATCGTGCAGTGCTCGGATCTCAAACCCAAGCTGTCACCTTTATACTGACAAGCTCAGGGCCTTTAATCCCTGAGCCATCATTTAGACCACCAAAATCATGTGGTGATTGCCAAAAATCAAGACTAGGGAGGAAAGAGTGAACTAGAGAGACTTTGCAATATCTATTGCGTTCATTTTGAGAATTAACTAGGATCTCAGTGAGTAGATTTGATTCAGGTCCTGCATTTCGGGATTTTTTAAAAAATATACTGTTCTTCTCATAGGTTCCAGTTTTCTAAAACACTATAATGTAGTTCTGGAATTCATTCTACCTATATTCCAAGAAGCCAAAATGTACCATTAGCAAACTTTTTTTGAACTGTGACTTGAAATAGATCTTTATGAAATCAATTTCAGCTACAGAAGAAGAGCTGCCAGAAGATAGAGAAAGCTGATTTTACAATATTGAACATCCGTGACTTTAGAATAAATCATGCTGGCATCCTAATTTAACTTGCAGGAAACCCTGACAAATTGGAGAGTGAGGGAGACCATTAACATAGCCAAAGCATTTGTGTAAAGGATATACTGCTACCAGCCTATACTATGAAACAATTGCAACTATGTCAACCTACCCCAAGCAAGTTCCGTGGTACGTAGCCTTCTCTGTCACTTAGCTGAGCCCACCACCATTCTATTTCTTCTTCATCTTCCCGGCGAAGGACTGTCATGCAATCCCCTCCTTTAATTGATAGTTCATCCTCATTCTGAGCCTCATAATCCCAGAGACCATAAACTATCCCTTTGTTCATTATACCCATTTTTTCTTGCACTCCTGCAACACACACACAAACAAAAAAATCAAACCAAGTTGTCATAACAAAAATGCATTCCATAATAATGGTGACTATCACATAAATTTTTAGTTAAGAAAAAAAGGCAAAAATAACAACTACAGCAAATATAGTTTGTGTAAGAATGTTCAAGCCATTATAGGAGCAGCATTAACATAAATTCAGTCTATGGATGGATATATAAAAGTGACACAAAGTGGGAAAATCATTCTACCTGCAATGCATGTGAAGATGGATTTTTTTTAAAAAAATTATTGAGAATTTTAGATAGAGTAAGCTAAAATCCAAAGAATAATAAATGAAAGTTATGAGATATCGCATAATGACTTTCAACCTTCATTCAACAGATAATCACAACCTTATAATCCTCCCCCTTATATATTATACAATTCTCTTCAACCCCTTAGTCATCTTTTTCAATGCAATTTTCATAGCAATTTTTCTTTCAGCAAAAACTATAAGTTCCAGTGTGCATGTGAAGATACTTATCTGAAGTAATAACAAAACACAAATTGTGCTATTGCTTCTATCTAATATACCCATCTCTGTTATACATGAAAATCCTACATACAATGCATAAGTGTTTTAATGCTTTGTTTTCTGAAGTTCCATTTATTCAACAGAAAACTAGAAAAATAAAATGATTTTTCATATATAACTAAGCTACTAGAAATTAAGAGATGGCAAAATAGATAAGACATTGTACAAGTTTAGAGAGCTAAACATTTCTGCATGGATTATTCAAATTCAGTAAGATTTCCTGAAGAATGTGCAAAAGGTTTTGAATTAAGATAATTTGAATTGTTTCAAACTAAAAACAGTTTCAATTTGAAACACACTCTCTTCCTATGTAAGCTCTTTGCAACCAAAATATTAGAAGATTATTATCCAAGGGTATATGCTATTATTTCTCTGCTGTCAAACAAAGAAAGCCTCTCTGGTTGAGCTGTTTCTATCAGATATAAGTGAAGTCAAGAAGGTCATTCCATTCTTCAATTCATGAAGAAACAACAACAAATAGCGTAAGCAAGTGTAGACAGATAAAATCTAATTCAATTATATGACAAAAGAATCACTCTGCAATGAATAAAACTCTCCACAAACATTAAAATCCAAGAAGAATTGAAAACAATGTATGATGCAGTAAATTAATCTCAGTTCAAGATTTTTTTTAAAAAAAAACATACTTTTCATGAAAAAAGAAGCAAGTGATCTCTACTACAAGAATGGAAATTTCAGAGAAAAACCAGCTATAAGGGAAAGAGCCACATCTTCAAAGACAATGAGCATCAAGTCACTTATTAAGAAATAGTAAACATGCAAATAGATCTACAATGAAATTTGGGATTAGGGTAGTAGAACCAAATAATGCTTTTCATTTGATGCTACAACATAAAACTTTTGTAGAATTTCGGATGTATGGACATGCTGTTTTCTAGAGCTTGAAAAAATATTCTGGACATAAAAGAGGAAATGGGGGCGGGGATTACTGCTCTAAGGAACCCCATTTTGGGCACATACCATAAAGAAACTGGGAACACTGAGTATAGCCTTCTTCCATTTCTTCACACTTGTCTGCTGCGGTCTGCATGTCACTATATGTTGTGGCAAATACAGCAGCACCTGATTCTACTAGAAATTTGCACACCTGGACATTATTGCAGGATGCTGCACAATGCAGTGGAGTCCTATACATCACAAAAGAAAAGAAAATAATAACAATGTTTTGAATCACTTTCCACAAACACCCAGATGGATGGGTACTTGTGGCCTGCTCTTTGAATGTTTTCCTCCTGGAGATTAGGTTAGCCTCAACCCGTGTTTTTTTGGATCTGGCCACTAGGTATGGAGATTGGAATATGTGGTAATCCATGAAAATCTGGTATTGATGGCTGAGCCTTCCCCCCACACACACACCTTTGAATGCAAAGTGGTATCCATTGTGATTATTATTACTATTGTATGTTTTTAACTGCTGTTCCCTTTTCATAAGTCACAAGGTTGAAATGGGTGCTATATATATTTAAATAAATCTACTGTAATATGAAATGTTAATATTATAAGTATTAATGGTTGTTATGGATTCTGAAACCTTTATTACTACAACTGCATTTCCCTGAAACTTGGCTTTCTGAAAACCATATTGTTTCATCTGTACACCCAAATTCCTCTTTTGCTGAAGACTGTACTGTTGTTCTTATCCTAACACAGTAACTAAAATCTTTTGCTTTGTATTCCAGAGATGTTGAAATCACCAACTATTCTAATGAGCCAAGGGCAATTCCCACCTATCTATCCCCATCCCAGGAAAAAGATTATTTATTTTCTCAGGCAGAGATATTGAAATGGATATAGACTATCATGCATTTACTAGATACCTCATGGTGAAAAGTTCCATTAGGGTAACTTACTTATGCTAATTCAAAATGCCAAAAAGCATCCTTACCATCCATCACTATCTGCAGCATTTACATTTACACCAAACTGTACCAAAAATTTCACAATCTCTGAGTGACCAGCACAGACAGCATTGTGAAGTGCTGTAATGCCTTCATCATTGGGCAAACTGGGATCTTCAACCTG